GGAAAAAAGATAAATGACTTTAAAAAGAACTTCTGTTCATGAAAAGACAGCAATAAGAGAACAAAAAGGTAAGCCATAAACTGGCTGATATTTTTTTGCAATGCATATATCTAAGAAAGGTGTTAAATCCAGAATATGCATAAAGAGCAGGCATGTCTCAAAACAGAATGCCTAAATAGCCCATAAACATCTCATAAGATGCTCAATATCATCACTCATCAGGGAAGTGCAAATTAACAACATGATGAAATGCCATTACCCACCAGAATGCCTAAAATTAAAAAGAATTACAATGCCAAATGCTGGTGAGGATGTGGAGCAACTGGAATTCTTATACATTCCTGGTAGAATTCTATATCGATGCAACCAATTTGGAAAACTAACAGTATCTACTAAAGCTGCAAACATGCTCTGTGGCCCAGTATTTCCACTCCTAGGAATATGCCAAAAGAGAAATGAGTGCATGTTATTCACCAAATGAGGGCAGGTGGCTACATGAGGCTTCACAGCAGCACCTTGAATTTTGTCTCTGAAGATGGCAGATGTTCTCTAAGTGCACAGACACTGGGAGCACCATGTAAAGTTGTGGAGATATAGACGAGCATGAGGTGTTTGGGAACATGGTAATTGTAAACTGCTGGAGCACATGGGTTAGGATTCTAGAAAGACACAAGGCTGAAGGGGTAGGCTGGGTCTTGTAGAATTTGCCAAGGAGTGGGTTTTGCCAAGGGGCTTGTTCAGGTTTGGCTTTCAGAAAGATCACTCAAGAGGTGTGCGGGGTGAAGTCAGGGAGGCTAAGTAACTCTTGGCAGGAAGCCTTTGGGGGTGCTAAGTATCACTTTGCTGCCATTTTACTGATTTCAGGGAATACGTACTTTCACTTTACCCGAAATTATACTACCTGCCATTCTGTGCGGAGAATGGGGTTGGTATGTTGCTGTAACTGATGATTTTCCAGAAAGCCTTCTATTTCCATAATGGCGACAGGAAAAGGAAGGTAGACAGATGACAGTCCAGCAAGCATTTGCTCAACCGCCATCCTGTCTAGCTGAGCATCTCTTTGACAACTTTCAAACTTTCTGCCTAAAACATCACTGATTTTACAAAACATGTGCAGGCTTTGTCCATTCTTAGAGTGAACTTTGCCCTTTTCATCCAAATCCTCTTCCTGTACCGACCATTCCAAAAAGAAAACACAGGCTTTGCCCATGGCCAGCATCCTTAGTGAGTATATGAAAACCACCCAAAGGAGAAGGAAAGGAAAAGCAAAACACGGTGTTTTTCTTTAGAGCAAGACTCTGATTTCTCAATGTGAACCCATTGCCCAATTTTCTTGAGACAGCCCCAAATTTGTGTTAGTCCCTGTGTTAAAATGACCATTGTGGGCTCATTACACAGCAGACATTGTCACACTGCTCATGTTTCTGCCAAGGGAAAAACAAGAGAAAATGATCTTACTGGGAAAGAGGAGGTGCAAGGCTGAGGGTAAAGTCCCTGACCGTGAACAAATCATGAGACTCTGCCAGGGTTCCTGGGGGAGGGGCAGAATCACCTTTACTAGTGATTTAAGAAGAAAAGATTATTATCAAAAAGATACCTGCACTCATATGTTTATCACAGCACTATCCACAGTAGGAAAGATATGGAATCAACCTAAGTATCCATCAGTGGATGACTGGAAAAAAAAAAAGTGGTATATATAGCATGGAATACTCCTTAACTATAAAAAGGAATGAAATCACATCTTTTACAGCCATATGGTTAGAACTGGAGGTCATTATCTTAAGTGAAATAACTCAGAAACAGAAAGTCAAATACCACATGTTCTCATTTAGAAGTGAGACCTAAACAATGGGTACACATGGACATACAGAGTAGAGTAAGAGACACTGGAGCCTCCACAGGGTGGGATGGTGGGAGGGTAAGCGGGGGTGAGGGCTAAAAATTACCTATTGGGTGCGCTGTTCACTATTTGGGTGATGGGTACTCTAAAAGCCCAGACCTCATCACTATGCAGTATTTGCACATTAGAAATCTGCACTTGTACTAAATCTAAAAAAGTAAACAAAGAGAAAGAATTGGCCAGGCATGGTGGCTCACACCTGTAATCCCAGCACTTTGGGAGGCCGAGGCAGGCAGATCATGAGATCAGGAGATGGAGACCATCCTGGCTAACACGGTGAAACCCAGTTTCTACTAAAAACACAAAAAATTAGACAGGCATGGTAGCGGGCACCTGTAGTCCCAGCTACTCAGGAGGCTGAGGCAGGAGAATCACTTGAACCCAGGAGGCGGAGGTTGCAGTGAGCCGAGATTGTGCCACTGCACTCCAGCCTGGGCGACAGAGCAAGACTCCGTCTCAAAAAAAAAAAAAAAAAAAAAGAGAAAGAGAGAAAGGATTCTATCCATGTGGCAGGGAATGAGCCTCTTGACACCCAGATCCTTGAAAAGGATGCTTTGGCTCAGTGGTCCACTGCAGACCCCTTTGCTTCCCCAACTGCAAACTGCACCCAAAGGTGCAAGAAAAATTTTGGATCAGTTACTGAATTCCAATTTTTTGGTGACTTTAGGGACATAACCAAATTTCCCGGGCTGGTTGCCTTCAGCACATTAATTTATGTGACACTATTCTGTTCCTTAAATTTCCTTAAATAGAAAGAAGGGAGCTTCTGAATTCCAGGGAGGCAGCTAGCCTGTACTGCTTCGAAGAGAAAGAAAGGAACCAGTACATCGCTGCTGTCACTTGGAGCAGCTCAGGAGGGCAGCCCCCAAGAGCTGAAAGCCAGGGGAGGCTTCTGTGTGAGGAGGATTCAGGTTCCTGTTTCACTCTAAAAAGGTCCACTGAGGAGGAGTCTCTGGAAACATCTAAAGTAACTCCCTCTTAGCCTCTGGTGCTTCTGGTCAGCAGGCAAGCACACAAGAGAGGCCAGAGATGGAACCACCATCAGGGGAACCGCACTTAAAGGAGCTCCAACCTTCACAGGTGCAAGTTCTCTTTAAATCCAACAAGACCCCACTTTTAGAAACTGACCCCTCTGCCACTGGACAGAGCCAGGGAATACCACCAGATCTGCCCAGCAAACCGTGCAGGCACATTAGCTCCAGGCCTCAGGAGGGATGTGGAGGCTCCTCAGCCACCTGCCTCCTGCTGCCGCCCAGGAGTCCTGCCGTTATCCACAGTGCCATGCCAGCCTCAAATTCCGCCCACCCAGCAGGCAGCTCCACTGCGCACGTGGGCACCCTCCAGTGAAAAAGACCAGGTACCATCTCTCTTCAAAGCAGCAGAATGTAAGGTTTGTCTGGATTCCTACCTTCATCATGTGGTAAAAATAAGAGAGTACAGATAGATTTCTGTTAAACAAGCACAGTCATGAAAATCTCTGCAAAACTGCACAATGTTCATCCTCCATCACTTGTGCCTGATTTTAAGCCAAATTGAACAGTACCCTATTCCCTGACAGTGGGAAGATTTAGACGTCCCCTGGCATTCCTTGCATGGGAACCTTGACCTTTTGCTCCTCATAAAGCAATAACCACAAAGGCTTCCTTTCTCAGGCAGATTCAGACTGCAAAATTTTTCACCAAGTGCATGTTCTCAAATAAGACTTTGAAGACAGAAGTTACAAGGTGATGCATACTTATCAAGAAAGAAAATGACATCAGGGCACCCAAGGGAATTGGCTTTTGGAAAAAATAAGATAGACATTTGAATTAACATTATCCCCCCTCCCCCGGAAACAACCTCTGTACCTAAGGACTTCTTTCCCTAGCCTCATGACTTATTTTCTCTTTTATTCAGCCAATTCAAATGATTAAGAAAATAGGTTTGTTTCCCCAGCTGCCACCAAGCTGTGACACCTCTCAGGCCTTTTGGGGCTGCTCCTTACCCCATCCCAAAGGGGTGACTCTTCATTCCTGCTGGATGCCAGGAGAGAGCCCTTGTGGTAAACCCCAGTTAGAACTCTTTTCTTATTTCAGGGATTTGTAAATCAGATACTATTAATATATACTAAGTCAAGCCAGACCGACTGTCCTGAAACCCATTATTTAATTGAAATCTTGGATACATAGTAAGGCTGGCCTTGGGTTCTGGCCTGTAGGCCTGGACATGACCAGAGAGAGAACCTGAGAGAAGTAGACCCTGGTGCAAATGCGCATTGGAAGAGAGGTCTCCAGTTCTGCGCAAGAGAAACGGGTTACTGGTGAGCTGCAGTGAGGGCTGGGGAGGGCTGCTGGACCAGAAGGAAGGCTAGGATATGACAGGGCAAAGCTTCTCATCCAACCCCTGCAGGATCCGCAGGATCACTCAGCAGGTGGCAGCTCCCTTTCGTGTACATGGTTCCTGAAAGGCATCGTATATAGAGAAATCAGTAGTTACAGCAACAAGTAGATAAATGCTAACCCCAATAGCCCCTCACTCATGGAGGATTTACTGTCTGGAACCATGGACCACCCTACCCTAAGATTGTGTCCTGGCTCTCTGTCATGCATGTACTAGAATCACATCCCATGTGGATCTGGTCTGAAATTGTCTGTGCATAGCCCATCCTGATCACTTCTGTCCTCTATTTCCAAACAGTGTCTATCAATCAGGTGGGCACATTGTGATTCTTTGGTTGGAAGGAAACAAACCTTGCAGGCATTCTTTTTGCATTTTGTGATAATTCTTATCTCTGTTATCCTGCTCAGCCAGGCCCGTGTTCTTTTTGCCAATTTGTTGAGCGCAATGGGCATGTGTGCTTTAAAAAGTATTCTGTATTGTGATAAGGAGCTGAATCTCCTCCTAGCCTCGGAGATGGCTCCTCAGACTGAAAAGTCTGTCTGGTGCTCCTCAAAGCTCTGCTCTGCAAAGCTTTGCTCTGGAGATTGCAGAGCTGGTAATGCTGGTAATGCTTTATTGCCATGACATTGCCAGGAGCTTCCAATGACTGGTAACTGTGTTTCCTGATGCATTTAACAATTCCCATCCTGCGCTAATGTGATCTGCCTTCCCCACACAGGCACACAGGGTGCATAAGAAGTTTCCTAAACCTGGCAGAGTGCATCATTCCTCCCAGAAGAAACGTCATTCCACTCCTTTGCCGAGCACTGCTGTACCAACCCATACACCTGGCAGCAGCCAGCAATCCCCGCTCAACAGTCCTCACCCGGGGCCCATCCGGACGGGCCTGCCTCCTGGGCACCAGCAGGAATTTGCCGGACGAGCCAACAGCACCCCCAACCCTCCCTGGTCTTTCCAGAGAAGCAAGTCCTTGTTTTGTTTGCCCACGGGAGGCCCCTCCCCGGCCTCCTCAGCTGAACCACAGTGGTTTTCAAACACAGGTGCCCCAGGGCACAGGGCATCAGAGTGGAGGCATGGCCACCTCCTCTCCATCGATGACCTAGAGGGGGCCCAGGAGACAGATGTGGACACAGGCCTGCGGCTCTCCTCCTCGGACCTGTCTGTGGTCTCTGCATATTCTGCACCCAGTAGATTCTGCAGCACAGTGGAGACACCCCTCCCCTCCGAAAGATGCAGCAGCCACTGGGCAGCTCACAAGGATTCCAGGGAGGGACCACTGCCCGCTGTCAGCAAGGTGACCACAGAGACCTCCTGGGCTTCCCTCCCTTTCTTCACCAAAAGGTCTTCCAGCTCCTCAGCGTCAGCTGGTGCTGCTCCCCCAGCTCCCAGCACTTCCACCCTCACAGACTCCTCCCCACAGCTCCCATGCGATACCCCCAAAGTCAAGCAGACTGATGGAGATGTGCCACCACCCCCAGGGTCGGCTGGCCCCGGGGATAATGACATGGAGGAATTCTACATCTGAATGCCCTCTGCTCTTGTTCTCAAAACACACAAACTCAGACACACAGACTCAGGCCACACTGCCCCTCTGGCTGCTGAGCGCACCGCATTCTTCATGATCCATTTCCCAGGAGCTGTAGCACATTTGCCTACCACCCACTTTTATCTGGGGGGGTGGTGTATCTCTAGGGACACAGCAGAAAAATACTGGCATTTTTATGCAAATAAATTCTCAACAAACTTGTCATAAAATATATTTTTTGAATATTCAGCATTTGAGATATGGTTTAGAGGGTTTATACAATTTAAATGGCTTATATAATTATTTGAAATGAAAAGAAAACCTAGTCAGCCAGAACCAATTTGGCCATTTTTCCATGGTATGAAGGAAAATCAATTAAGGCCAAAATATTGAATGTGGGAGAGATACTAAGTGACTTGTATGAGGCATTACTGCATAATAACGTAACGCACACCTTACTGGATTCTCCATATATATTTACATTACCAGAGAACAGTGGCCCTAGGGATGTTTAAGCACTGCTTATAGTGGAAAAAGTCAGCTTGAGAAGTAAACATATATCAGACTACAGGTAATTCCTCACCTTGAAGCCGTGCAGCACCTAAAACTCTGGATTTATACAAAAGTTGCTAATGTGTTTTATAAAGATTTAGCATGAGTAACAGACTCTTGGTGCATTTAAAATATGTGAATTCCAGAAAGTAGATTTGCATACACCTTTTCAACAGCACATTTCACTGGAATGGATGAAGGGCTTCAGAAGACCGCTCCACTACCTGAATTTATTTGGATCACTGAGGAAGAGCATTTGTTGGGATTACAGAATTACAGGCCATTAGACATCATGGGCAGGTAGGCTTAACATTCTTCAACTTTCAGAAACCACAGTCTAAGGGCTATATTCAAATGACAGAGCCACACCGTCTACTGCTTTCTACAGTGACCATGCTGGGTCACACATCCTGTGTTTCTCGTTTTTCAGTGATTCGGAACATTTTAGCCAGCATTTTGATTGCACAGATTAATAATACTGTTCTCCCCCAAACGGGAAACTGTACATGAAACGCTCTCCTGAACAAACACCAGTGCACTGCCAGCCTCACATGACTGCATGGGAGCTTTAATTAACACTGGAGCTGGAGCCCAACGACCTTGGCTTTTCCTGCCTGTTATCTGCTACTGTCACAGTGCGAATGGCATTTGAATCTCACCTCCCTCTCACCCCAGTAAGGGTATGTTTGTTTACAGCTCCAACCTCAGCAATGCCAAAGGCTGGCATCGGGGGCAGTGCCAAGCTGTCCCTGGATACTATTTTACCTTTGAGGAAGAAGAGCATGGGTTTGCCAAGCTCAATTCCCAGGCTGGTGCTCCTTGAATTAATCATGGCACAGTGTTCATCTCTCTGGAAATGCCCACGCCAGCCCAGACACAGCCTCAGAGTCCTTTCCAACACAACCCTCCAGGCAGCAGTTACCAACCATCAGCCTTCAGCTGAAGCTTCAAGTCTTTGCCATCCTTGTAATGAGAGCCTTAGGTCTTGCCCCAAGCATTCTGGATTCTCCAACACTCAGAATTGTAATATTGTGCTTTAATTCAAATTTTTAAAAATATATAGTCTACTAATTCAGGACAAGGGGTAAGCAAACTTTTTCTGAAAAGGGCTAGATAATAAGTATTTTAGGCTTTGCCAGTCATATGGTCTCTGTTGAAGCTACTCAACTCTGCCACTGTAGTTTGAAAGCAGCTATGGGTAATACGTTATTGAACGGGAGTGACTGAGTTCCAATAAAGTTTTATTATTTATTTATTTATTTTGAGACGGGGTCTTGCTCTGTTGCCCATGCTGGAGTGCAATGGCACAATCTCAGCTCACTGCAACCTCTGCCTACTGAGTTCAAGCAATTCTCCTGCCTCAGCCTCCCAAGTAGCTGCGAGTACAGGTGCACACCACCATGCCCTGCTAATTTTTTGTATTTTTAGTAGAGATGGAATTTCACCATGTTGGCCAGGCTGGTCTCGAACTCCTGACTTTGTGATCCGCCCACCTTGGCCTCCCAAAGTACTGGGATTACAGGCATGAGCCACTGTTCCCAGCCAATAAAACTTTATTTACAAGAACAGCTGGTGGGCCAGATTTGGCCCAAGGGTCATAGCTTATTATCCCTTGAGCCAGTCTGCTGCCTGAGGTTGATTCAACATTCCCAGCTCCAGTCAACAACAAAAATTCTAAGTCTCCCGCCCACTGCTGCTGTGGTGTGTCATGCCAAGAAAATGGGCTACTCAGGTCAGACCAATGACTACAGAACCACAGGGCTCAGAACAGGAAAGAGCTGCTTTCTGCAGAGCTGATTCCTGGAAAGCCACCAGCACTCCACCTCCTGCCCAGAAATGTGATTCAGTCAATAGCTGATGATGAAAAGCAACCTGCAAACAACATTAGGGAGAAGGAGAAAAATAATTCAGAGGTGATGATACTGCCTCCCATGAACAGGGAAGCAAGTTCATCAGTAGCAAAAGTCAGTGAGGCAAAAAAAAAAAAAAAGGGGCTAACGGCCGAGGGCTAGCTCCTTCTCCCTAATCAGTGTCCTTATTTCAGTATGCTCACATGCTCACCTAGGACTGCTTTAGAGTGCAACTCTGGCCCCCACCCTTTCCCAATGACCCGCCCTCATCACAGTCCAGTCTACCAAACTGAGTGACCCCAAAGGACATCATAGACAGCATTTGAAAGCAAGAAATGCAGAATGTTCCCACAGCATCAGGTGAGCAGGGAGAGGACACCTACTGCAGACTGCATGGAAATGGCAGTCCCTCCACGGAGAGGGACTCACAGGAACACATTTACCAAAGCCTTCCCTTCCATTTCTGGCCGTTCCAATAGCATCTTTCTCGTCCGGAAGGGCTCCCAATACTCTCTGGAGGATCCTGACTCATTTGGAGTATTATCCTTGTAAAAGATGCTGGCACATTGTAGGTGCTCAATAAATGTGTTCAATTGAAAGATACTGAGGTTGTCTCCTAAATTACTCCTCTCTGTATGTATTAGGCTCTATAGTGTAAGAAGTCTGGATTGTAGCCCTGGTTTTTTGTCACTTAATGGAACCCTGTCTCTTATTTCCTTGGCCATGCACTTCCTCCAGCATTACCAGGGAAGGGGGCATGTTGGTAAGCGCTCTGGTTGAGTTATATCCCATCCCTCATTTGTCTCTTTTCCAAGTAAGATTCCCTCACCCCTAAATAACTGCTCACAGTCCCACTTTGGCCTACACTAACCACCACCTAGTGTCTGCTTTAAAGAGCAAATCTGTCTCTGTCTGTCCCCACTGACCTGGCAAGTCCTACAGAAATCCACCTTGGGTCACATCAACTGGTTAAAAGGAGCATAAGAGGAACTGGTAGAAGCAGTGGGTGAAGCCACTGCAGAGACTTTTATGACATGGGAGGGTTGACGTGTGCTTGAATAAATCGGGTTTTAGTACTGGCTGCTCCTTGAGCCCCTGGGTCTGAGGGCAGGGGGACAGTCACAGCAGAGTGTATTAGACTGCACCACCCAGTGCATTCCCAGGTGAGACCGCATGTTTACTTAGAATGAGCTCCTGGCCACCAATAAATCAGGAGAAATGCAGGTATCTTCCCATCTCCCTATTTTCTTTTCCTTTTTTTTTTTTTTAATACGGGGTACCACTGTCACCCAGGCTTAGTGCAGTGGCACAGTCATGGCTCACTGCAGCCTCAACCTCCCAGGCTCAAGTGATCCTCCCACCTCAGTCTTCTGAGTAGCTGGGACTACAGATGCACAACTATGCCCCACTCATTTTTTATTTTTTGTAGAGACAGAGTCTCACTATGTTGCCCAGGCTGGTCTCAAACACCTAAACTCTAACCATCCTCCCGCTGCAGCCTCCCAAAATTCTGGGATTACAGGCATGAGACACAGTGCCCAGCCTATCTTTCTACTTTCTGTAGATGAACTAGTTCTCCAAACGGTCAACCAAGAGGCACCTGAATAGATACATGGAATTCCTGTAAGATTTTTAAGGGTAATAAAACCAACTGTGGACAGCTTCTCCCTCCTTATGCCCTCAGACCGGTATCAGCGACCAGTAATGACCAGTGCCGGGGTCTGAATTTCAGGAGAGCTGTAGGAATAGCTGAATAGTCACCCTCTCCTCCGCCCCAGGCCACACGGCTCCACGTGCTCATCATTTGTAGGGTGCTGCTTCTCTTGCATTCCTGAGAAATACAATTGATCAGATACCGCAGAGCCTTCAGAAAATAGCATGAGAAGCTGACATGAATAAATTGGGTTCTCAAGGGAAACACCTTTTGACACACTATTATTATAACAAATGGAACCATGAAGGGTCAGAAACCTGAATTTAAAGATTATATATAAGTACCTTTTTCCACCTTTTACTGAAGGCTTTTTCTAGTCTTGGGCGCAGAGGTCTATTTACAAAGTGGCTTTAAAAGATCTGACTTCCCTGAGTGAATAATGGAGGCGAATATGAATGGTAATGTCGGCAGGCTTGGGTCTTTTTAACAATTTCCATCTTAGAGGGGCGAGGACTGGTGTCCAGTGACATTCCCACTATGAGGAGCAACACGCTTATTTCAGACTGAAGTCACTAGAACATGTGGTGAAGGCACAAAGACCCCTTCTGGGTCCCACTGACAACCTCCACAAACTCTGTTTGTGATGAGGGTGTCGCCTCCTGTTATCTGGGATGGTGGTGTAGAAAAATGGAGCTGTAGGCCAGGCACAGTGGCTCACACCTGTAATCCCAACACTTTGGGAGGCCGAGGTGGGTGAATCACTTGAGGTCAGGAGTTCAAGCTCAGCCTGGCTAACATGGTGAAACCCCATCTCTACTAAAAATACAGAAATTAGCTGGGCGTGGTGGCGTACACCTGTAATCCTAGCTACTTGGGAGGCTGAGGCAGGACAATCGCTTGAACCCAGGAGGCAAAGGTTGCAGTGAGCTGAGATCATGCCACTGCACTCCAGCCTGGGTGACAAAGCAAGACTTCATCTAGAAAGAAAGAAAGAAAGAAAGAGAGAGAGAGAGAGAGAGAGAGAGAGAGAGAGAGAGAAAAGAAAAAGAAAGAGAAAGAAAGAGAGAAAGAGAGAAAGAAAGAAAAAGAAAGAGAAAGAAAGAAAAAGAAAGAGAAAAGAAAGAAAAGAAAAGAAGGAGCTGCTTCACTGTGCCCCACTGCCCTGTTCTGGCTGGGAGTGGTCCATTTGAGACATTTGAAATATTGATCTTACCAGTTGAGCGCCTGAAAGAAGCTGCCTGACTCCCTTAGGTCAGTCTTGCCCAGTCTCTAAAACTAAAGTCAGAGCATTTTGTATTGGAGTCACTCTGAATGTGTGTGGCACAGTCTAAGAAATGGCCAAAACGCTTTCAAGCCAAATCTCATCCCTGAAGGTGGCTGTGGGGAAGCTTTGGTGCCACCTGGTGGCTGCTGTGCCCAGGAGGGTCAGTGAGTACCCTTTTCGTTGAAGCCTCCACCTGGATGAACGGGAGGGAAGCACTTCACTTTATTATCCTGCATTTAATTTTCTATGCTGTTTATGTCTACAAAGGATTAAGGCAATTGAAGTTCCAAATGAAACAAGACAATGCAAATAGAAAAGCAGGCCCCCAAAAAGGGGCCTACAAATATGTCCACCATAAAGAAAAATGTAACTGCTGTAGGTAGTTGAATTTCCTGGAAGCCAGAGAGAAAAGGGAAAGACGAGTAGCTGTCTAGTTCTCATTTACGATTAAAGAATCTAGAAACACTGTCTTCTTTCATTGTAATTTAAGTTGCCTCAACACAGTTCCTCAGAGAAAAACAAGTTTTTCTTAGCACAGATTTCTAAAATCTCTTTCTCACCAGGGGATTTTCATTAGGGATTTTCTCTGTAGGGTTATAATTTGGTCCAAGTCTTGGGCTTTCGTGCTGGGGGAATGGAATCAGCAACACCTGGAGGAGACAGCGCACCCACAGCTTGTGGGTGAGGCTCCCTAGACATCCTTCTCCTTCCTGCCGCACTATGCAGCAAGGTGGGAATTTCTCTCTCAGCAGAAAGCCTGGAGGGCTGGGCTTCTCCATTGCTCTTGAGGCCGTATCTGCCAAGTTTAGAAACAGAAGGGCCAATAATAAGGTTCCGCTTTCCAAAGCTAACCTTGCCCCTATTCAACCAAGGCCAGAAGCGTCTATTACCTCCTCAGGTTTCCTCATCACATAAGATGTGTCACATCCTAATGAAGTAAGAAGCAAGAGGAGACTAAAAAGTAGGCTGGATCTACTGCCAGGGGCATAGCTCTTAGCAGTGGTCTGAAGACTGAAAATGCAGTCTGTTAGAACAGAGGAAACTGAGGTGCAGCGGGAGACTCCTCAACCTATTTCTACTCCAAGAGTTATGTTCCACTTCCTGCAAAATGAGCCTCCTGTGCCCGATATGAGCTAAATCACCTCATGCCAGGGCCTCTGAAATTCTCCTTGGCCATAAAGCTCCGTGGCTGTCTGGGCCTGTGTTCATCACCCGAGCTGGTTCTGTACTCCTGCAGTGACCTCTTTGGTCCTTTGGTCATTTCAGATCTCACTGCCCCCCACCCCCACAATGGCTTCCCAGGAGTGTTCCCTCTGGCCAGCTTTGCCCTTGCTTGAAACAGTGAACTGGCTGCAGCTGTGGAGGTGAGCACCCGGGCATCTGGCAGCAGGCGCAGGACTGTGACCCAACCACGTGTGGCCCTCCCAAGGACCTCTGCATGGCCACATTCTGTTCTGAGTCTAACTTCGCCTTTGCTCCCAAATTCAGTACACGCTGGAGCTTTCCATTTGGTGGACACTGGCTTTCCTTTCTCATCCTGCATGGGCCTGGCCTCTCTTACACATTCAGCCACACTTTCCTGGGTGCTAGAGCTGAATTTTCAGCTTCCTGCAATATACCCGTGACTTGGGGTTTTCCCGTGGCGCCAAATCCACACCAAACCGCCACACAAATCTACACCAATAAGGATGTCGTTGACATCCTCTTCCTCCCCCTCCCCCTTCTCCTCCTTCTCTCCCTCCTCCCCCTCCTCCTTCTCCTCCTCCAACTCCTCCTCCCTTTTCTATCTCATCATTCACATTCGAAAATGAAGAGTGAAGCACCAAGATAGCCCAATGGAGAGAAGCAGGGCTTTGGAGTCACACGTATTGGACTTTGAATCCCACTGAGACTTGCTAGCTGTGTGACCCTAATCAAGCTATTCCATTTCTCACTCTTAGGTTCCCCATTTGCAAAGTGGGAGGAGTAGGGTGAGGTAAGGTAAGTGAGGTACTCGCCTCAGGGGCAAAACTTAAGACAGTTCCCAAAACCTCATTCATTAAGATTAATATTATTTTTGAGCTCATAGAAGTAAGAAGTAAAACAGAGGATACTAGAGGCTGGGAAGGGCAGGGGGAAAGGAGGGACGGGGAGAGATTTGTTAAAGGATACAAAATTACGACTAGACAGGAGGAATAAATTCTCGTGTCCTGTATCACTGCAGGATGACTCCAGATAACAATATTACATAGTTTCAAATCACTGGGAGGGGGATATTGAATGATAAATGTTTGAGATGATAGATATGTTAATTACTCTGATCACTATAGATTATAGGGTTCCAAACATTACTACATACACTATGATATGTACAATTATTTGTCAATTTAAAAATAAAAAACTAAAAAAAGAGATTATTAATAATAACATTTTAAGGAATGAAGCCTTCTTCATAGGGCCATTCTGAAGAATAAATGAGATCCAGAGGCAAAGCCTGGCACAATGAGCTGTCATTTCCACCTTCATAGTAGCAAAGGTTTTGAAGATAATGCTCCATGATGTTTATTCATGGTTTTTGGCATGGGAAAGAAGTGTAGCAATAGATATATCAGTAGCCTTAAAAATGCTTATGTCAGGTAGGGTGTGGTGGCTCACGCCTGTAATCCCAGCCTTTTGGATGGCTGAGGCCAGCCAATCGCTTGAGCC